CTAGTGAACAGAAACAGAAGATCATATCTAGCTTGCTAGATATCAGACAAAAATGCCGCAAAGCTTAACAGCTCGTGAAGCCCTGGTTTTGGTGTGACAACTTTATTTTTAAGGCTGCACAAAAGCCACACCTTTCCAAAGGGACACGGGCTGTCCGGATAAGGAAATGAGTTCTGCTGGTCGGAATTTAACGTTTTAATTTCCCCTCGTTAGCTTGCTCTGTCTTTTCTCCCGCACGGTGACTCACGGCCTTATCCGAGGCTCATACTTAAAAAGGGAACGAGGCTGTGAGTCACGGGAGTCGTCGTGAATAGCTGACACATTCACTTTTCTTAATGCTCTTCCGAGTTCCATTTTTATTAATTGCCTCCGAGCCGGTAGCTTAAGCTTTAACTTAAAGGACATGTAAGGTTATCACATCGCTAACATAAAAGCTGAGAAAAGTCCAGCACAGGGTGTTACAAAATATTTCAGTCTGCTTTTCTTGGTACTTAACATGCCCCGGTCACATGGATAGTCTTTGGTTTTCTTAAGTCAGGAAGCGGGTGCACAGAAGCACAGTGACCCCTAGGGGGCAACAAAAGGCTTCCATTTGCCCATGGATGGGAACCATGTTGACTGATCAGGTTCTTTGTTCTTCTGAGATATCTACTGGGATTTAGTGAGATTTTTTTACGGCAAAAGTGAAAGTGTCAGTTTAATTGGGAGAATTGTTTTATATCAGATGCTTGGGGTCAAAACAGGGAGCTGAATGGGAGTCTCACAGCAGGGCCAGTTAATGGTGAACATGAATACAGTAATGTCTTCTCTTTTCATTCACTGCGTGCTGTGCTGTTGAATTTTTTGCAGCTTTTTTGTGTGAATTTTTATGATTTTTTTGAAAATCACTACTCAAGCTAGACTCTTTTATATGAGAATATTATTGTTTGCTGTCTGCTTTGAACAAGAATTTTAAAATTTATGTTAGGAAAAGTTAGATAAAGGGATTGTCAGTTTGCGAGAATAAGATTGTGGGTTGGTTTGGCTTAATGTTAGGGTAAACATACTGTGCTTTGTGAATCCACATGCACACACACACAGACACACACACAGACACAAGTGTCCATTCACATCAGCTTTCTGTATGTGTTTTGCAGACTTCTTGCTCTGAGGTGGGAGCTGAAAGTTTACTTCTGTGTGTTTATTAATGCCATTTGGCAGACACTATGACAGGAGAAGTTGCTTCTCTCTCTCTCTCTCTCTCAAAAACGAAACACTCTCCAGTTCGAACTCTGACATGCTTGAACTGTAAATATTTACTGACATGCGCTGAGCAGGGACAGAGAACCCTTCCACATCCTGTCTTCTCAGCTGCCATTTTGAGACATTCCAATGTAAATTTATTAAGACATTAACACAAAAAAAAAAACTATTTTGTTGTTTTGTTTACAGCGGAAGACGGAATGAAATCGAGGGACTTGTTATACGGTCAGTTGGTGTTTTACAGGACAGGGCACCACCGGAATTCTGGAAAGTGACATTTGGTTTTATGGAATGTTACTCTGGAGGTTCTCGGAACTCCACGCGATGCTCCGCCCTGTTTGTCCTTCTGTGAAACTGTAACATGATCTTTAAAGTCACATGAAGGTGCTAATTTGACTGTGCATGTTTATTATGAATAAAACAATCCCCTCTTTGTCAGAACTAGCAGAATTTCACAGCACAGTAAAGTGCCCTGGGGACATTGAGACATTTGCTGGAGACACCTGACTGATCATTAGTGTAGTCACCTGGGGGTGAGTGGGGGGGATGTTAATTTTGGGAGGGGACATGTTCTGGTCGTGGATTTAAACAATGTACATCTGTCCTAAGTTTCAAACACAGGGCCCCAACTCTTTTCCCCAGAGGGCCAAATTCCATCAGGAACACCAACCGATGGGGGGTGGGGAGGGGGGGGGAGTGACCGCTGGTATGTTCAGACAGTCGGGAAGTTGGAGATGTTGTTTCTTTTTCTTTGTAGTTCTCTTTCAGTTTCGCCTGATTTTATTCTGCGTCGTGTTCAGTTAATTGACCCTTTTGCTCTTCTCTCCCTGACAGTGGTGACCTCATCAGAATCCAGAATCTTGTTCATTTAAGGACATGCCCACCTCAGTGTCTGTAAAGATAAAATAATAAGAATAATATTTATTTCTTCGGTGTTACTTGCTGTTTCTTTACTCACAAAGTTACCCAACGTGATTTGTTCATAGATGATTCAAAGATTGGCCCCCAACATTTACCTGTGCCTTGACGGATTTTATTGCTCAATAATCAACCTCCCCCCCCCCCCTCACACACACACAGTAATAGGGTTAGTAGAGTTTCCTTACCTGGCTCACAGTTGGGCCATGTCGCCTGGGATCAAACCAGAGCTTTTGTCAGATTCTGCTTCCGAAGCTCCATATCTCTGCTGCTCGAGTTGGATTCCTGTCACCAGCAGCAGATGGTGCGATGGTGGATGCCTGCCCTGGGAATGTGCACACACAGATGGTAATGATAAAGCCGGCAAGAAATCAGCAGACAGAAAGCTTAGGCCAGTGTGTGTGTTTCTGTGGCTGTGGAGATGCTCTGGACCCCAGGTGAGCCGACGGGGGTCCTTCTGCTGCCCGGGTGCTCGGTGTGCGTGCCCCAGCTGGTGTTGTGAATCAGGCCGATGACCCACGCCTGCTCGAATCCGGCTATTTCACAACACCAGGGTGGTACCATACTACTGTCTACAGAACCTTCAGCAGATGGGTCAAGCTACTGTCAACAGGACTGCAGGCAAGCCAATCACACCACAAGTTAAAAATAACATCCAATGAAATATCAACCATTTCTCAAAAATGTGGATCATTTGAGCTGTTTCTATATTTGTTCATAAAACAAGAATATATAATTGTTTCATAATTGGCTATAAAATATAGACATGTAGCTCTGGGGAATGTGCAATGGGGGGGGGGGGGGGGGAGGAGTCTGTTCGGGTCTTTAGAGTTTCCTTTCTGTGGAGACCTATCTATAGTTTCCCTTTTTTACATGTTTAAACAGATTCTTGGTGAATGTGCATGACGAAATTTGATGTATATTCCCCCCACAGCAATGTTAACTGCTTTCAAACAGGGATGCCGAAATTCATACAATTTAAAAGCAAAAATCATTAAATAAAAAAACCTGACAGCATCTTGTGTCTCCTCTGCCTGTCTGCTGTGTCTGATCCATCCCAGATCTAATAGCACCTTGTCTGAAAATAAAACACTGCAGTTACATTCCTCCGGCTCCTGCCAGCGCTGGGTCCAGGCATCACAAGCTCTTTTTTGTCACTGTGGAAAAAGTGCTACTGATTTCAGCCGGGGTGACTTTAGGATTTGACCCTTAGGGGGGCTCAGTGCCCTGATAAAATATGCCCCCCACAATTACATCATTTGCTGAGGGAGGGTATGAAATGTCTAAAAATATGGGACAAATCACTAAATGGTTTTAGGATCATTATTTTTCATGGGGACTGAGACAAAAAAAAGTTGGGGCTGAACCTCCAATGGATTTCAGTTCCACGTTACACCATGACTTTATTACATCTCACCTGTTACCACACCAACAAATACGCAACACCTACGTGACACCATACAGATGGGTTTGTTATAGTGGGGGAGCTAATATCCCAGTTGTAAAAAACTGCAAATGAGGCTTTTTGTCACGTCATGTTTCTATCTTAAGAAAGGTAGAGTCCACCTCGGGGCATCTTGTGGCTCCATTATTCAAGGAAAAACGCCCAAGTCCCCCCCCCCTCCCCCCACCTACAGTGACCTGGGCAGTGCTCTGAAGGGGACATGAGGCCATGAGGGTTAATGAAGAACGGGAGTGAGCTCCACGGTGGGGCTACTGGCGGGTCAAGGTCACTTAGAGGAAACCTGCATGTTGATGGCTGCCGGTTCGTGGGCCATGTGGTTCGACCACATGGGAGGGCATGGAAACTCTACACAGGTGAGGCAGGGATGGAGGCTCAAACCCGGGTCTCCTGCGAGGCAGTAGTCCTCAGCAGTGCATTATCTTGCCCCAACTGCAGCCAACATTTTTATTTCTTAAATAAAAAGTTCACAACACAATGTATGAGACCATTAATACCACTCGTATTTTCGGCTCAAATTATTTAGCTCATGGAATCTGGCAGGGACGCTAGTCTGGTTACTGCTTCTGAAGTACCAACAGAAGTTTTAATTAGTCTGTATTTTGAGTTTTGGTTATCTAAGGTAGTTGTTGGATCATTTGGAGAGAAAATGACCTAAACCCAGTCTGCAGGGTATGCTTTAGATTATTGGCAGAGTATCATCTCAAAAACAATAAAATACTGAGTGAGAAATTTGCCCTTCGTTTGCATTTATTCAACTCCATTCAATTCAATTTAATTCAATTGAATTTATTTCCATACAGGCCCTCTTACAACACAGCTGCATTAGTGTAGTGTTTCTTAAAGCAGTCCTTGGGGATCCCCAGACAGTCCATGTTTTCACTCGCTCCCAATTCTCTGGGGGTCCCTGAGGACACCCCCCTAGGGTACTTACACAAGGGTATGTGACAATCCATTATTACCTCGTTTATCCAAAAATATTTGGTATCAGTTGAGAACAGTAGAGATGCTAATGGAGGATCACCGATATTTAACAGCATTGATGCTGCCTAGAATGACTCCACTGAGTGTCAATGAGGAAAGATCATGTGGAGTTCATTCAGTGTCGAAGTTGTCTGTGAGGAAGTTGAGGACAACCAATCAGCATTGACCAGGTGACTCAGTCTTTGTCCTTATGTCCTTGTAGTTTTCAATTAATGCTATCTAGCCAGAGATCTGAAATACCTAATGTAATAATGGTGTCTACATGCACAGATCTTGCTCAACTGCCCAAGGTAGTAATTAGTAATTAGTAATTAGTAATTAGCTGGAGAAAAAATTGTATTTCTCCTGTAACCAAACAGAAGCGGTTCTTGCTGGTTCACATGCATATATAACCCATCTGGACTTCATCGCCTTGTCACTGAAAAAGACTGGACAGCGGTATTGACACTGGGATGGCAGAGGTGCCAGCAATGGACACCATACCTGTTTCCACTCAAAGTGGGAAGTTTTCCGTCTCACCAAATGTTGGTGAGAAAGAGTCAAAATACAGTTACAGCGTGGACGATAAGTACTTCTACAACTGCGATGTCAACAGCATGGCTTCCACGAGATCAGAGGTCTTCTCAGGGTACAATACTTTGGATGCCCCGCCAAACTATGACTTTTATACAAAAACAGAGGTGTACGGGAGATCCCGCAAAACAAGACCTTCCCTCTTCCAGTTACATTCCATCATTCAGGTGAGGAGACCTTTTCAATGACTGTACAAATATATTTGTGCAAATTTATAAAACAGATAGGTGTAGTCAACTTTAATATCTTGGTATTAGCTATCATTAAGGTGATGGATGTAGAAACCCCATCTCACATGTCTGCTGATCTCTCTTGTACTGGCCAGGATTGCATTTGATTAGGCCTATACTTGTTTGCTCCTTTTCCCGATGTTTTCCATGTTTTTCTGAACCTGAATTTCTCATCCAAAATTTTCTTGGCCTGAATCTTACAATCCGAATTTTCAAAAGCCGAATTTTACAACCCGATCTTGAATTTTCATTACCACACAAACAACATAAATTGAAATTCGGGTAATGAGTTCAATTTCGATATCTTTAATTCAAGTTCAGGTAAACGTATTCAAGGTCGGGTTTTTTTTTATAAATTCAAATCCAGGTTCTGGTATTTAGGTAATGAAATTGAAGTTCAGGTTGACACACTGAAATTCGAGTAAATAAATTCAGATTCAGGTTGTGGTGAATTTGATTTCACGCCATATGTGAGCCCTGCAGTGGGTTTTTGCCCATATCCTGGGTCATACCCTGCCTTGCAGGCTCCAGACACCATGACCTTGAAGGTACAGAAAATGGATATAAAGATACTGACATGGTGTGCACGCCAACAAGGTGCTGAACATTAAAAAACACTGATGAGTTGATCTCTCAATCCATCCGTTTTTTCATACTGATTACCCAGAACAGGGTCATGGTTGGCTAGGAGCCATTATTTGATGCTGAAAGTTGCTGAAATCCTGCCCAGGGTTATTATTGTTAACGAAAACTAAAACTATAATGAACCTAAATAAAATAACATGCAAAAATAAAATAAAAAACTGAAGCTAAACAAAAATTATAAATATTGCTTCAAAACAAACGTCAAATACAGACGCTCCTGTACTTACGAACTTTCAACTTACGAACTTTCAGACATACAAACAAAGAGGACTGTAAGTCCAAATTGTGTTCCTTGGGCTCCCATTTCCTGTCCGCAACATAAATTTTTTTTTCTTCCCGCCAATCCCGCCCAGTACGACTTCTGGCCGCTACTCCCGCCGCGCAGCAGCGTAGCGTGCGAACTCCCAGCATCCTAGTTCTTTGTACTTGCGTATGCCCTTAAAATGATGTTGAATAACGACTTACGAACATTTCAAGTTAACAAACGGCCATTCGGAACGTAACTCGTTCATAAGTAGAGGAGTGTCTGTACTCACTTACTGATTTTAATACTGTTTTAAAAGTAGTGATATATTTAAACTTTGATTACTGTTAATAATTCCTGGACATTTTGAGGACATTAGTACGTAATGTGCACACTGTGCACTCATGTAGGATCCTCTAAAGATCAGATACATAAAATAGCTGTACAATTTTCAGTCTATGCCTAGAAATAAAATGTGTTAAATTAAAACTAAAATATATAAAAAGTAAATAGAAATAAATCTTCAAAACAACATCCAAGTGTGGCTTGGTGTAGTGGTTAGCACTTTTGTCTCACTCCTCTATGACCAGGGTTTAAGTCTCTGCTGTGGTTCCATGTGTGTGGAGTTTGAATGTTCTAACCTGTGTTGCTGTGGGGTTTTTTCTGGGTACTCTGCCCCCCGCCCCCACACCTCAGTCCAGCAACATGCTGAGGTCGACTGGAGTCACCAAAGTGCCTGTGAGTGTGAATGTGCCCTGTGATGGGTTGGGGTCCCATCCCGGGATGGGTTGGGGTCCCATCCTGGGATGTTCTCCACCTTGTGCCTGTACGCTCTAGATTCCCTGCAACCGTAAATAGGATAAGTGATTACAGAAAATAGATGGATAAAAACCAATAAAACTGTATTGATAAAAATTAACTAAGACTAAACTGGATTTTCAAATAAAAATAGCAAAATAAAGAGAACTAAATTACAAATTTAAAACTATAATAACACTGACCCCTTTCTCAGAAAATAATTATTTTTTATTAGCAAAATTGCCTCATTAAACATTGTAATTCTGTAAAAATACAAATGCTCACCAAGGATGCCATCACAATAATAAATGGCGTTATAATGAAGGAAGAACCTGGAGCCTAGAGATGTTTGTTCTGTTTGTTTGTTATGGCGCCTCTACGCTCCTACTGTCAGGAAGAGGGATCGCCACCCCCCCTGTATGAAGAGACTGATGGAGTGGGCCACGGAAACAGCTCAGATGAAGAGGGAGAGAGTCAGCCTCCCATAGAGCCAACGCGGTTTGGATGGGTGCAGGGCGTCATGGTAAGACACCGAACATTTGCTTCTCAGTCTCCATGGTTCATTACTGAGCAGCCTAATGGTCCACTGATGAACACTTAACATCCTCACATTGACTTACATTGTGACAACAGGAAAGCGTCTACGAGCCTCAGCCCTGCACTGTAGTGAGTTGACTTCCTTCCTACAGGTTCGGTGCATGCTAAACATCTGGGGCGTGATCCTCTACCTGCGCCTGCCCTGGATTACAGCGCAGGCTGGAATCGGTGCGTAGGCTTCTGCTCCACCTAAAATCAGCCTGCTATCCTGGAAACATTATTTTCGCAGTGCTGTGAGCAGCAGCTTGCTGACATGTTGGGCTCTGTGTAGCTCGTAATCTAGCAAAACTTATTGTGGCAGATCTGACACCTCGTATGGAGACAAGAAATTAATCTGAATAACTGTCCATGAAAATTATTGCTATTCGTTATCAATCAAGGAGACATTACGCCCTTTTCCAATCCCCTTATGTGTATGGAGTCTCGCCGACAAATGGCCATACCTCATGCTGACCAGCTCCTGATCCATCCAGGCCTCGCCTGGATCATCATCCTGCTCTCTTCCTGCATCACCGGCATCACGGGCTTGTCCACTTCCGCCATCGCCACGAACGGCAAGGTCAAAGGAGGTATGTGATGTGTTTCTACGATGGGGCTCAGAGGCTAAACCTCTGTGCCTGTGATCAGAAGGTTGCTGGTTCAGGCCCAGCTTCAGCACATCTGCGGGTCCTAGAGAGCAACTTATAGGAGGTCTAAAGAGAATTTCCCTACGGGATCAATATTAATTATTATTATTATTATCTACTGCCCAACTGCAGCTACACTTCCCCAGTGTCTAGGGTGCTCCTCAAGTTTTAAATTGGGATTTTTTTCACACCTGGATGCTTTACTGGACTAATTCCAGTTAAATACCACTGGCTTCTGAATGTGCAGAGCTGTAGACCAGGAGTTCATCCCTTAGCCTGGCTATTCCTTCTATATAGACTGTGGATAGCCTGCATTTTTGCTTGCTCTGTGATCAGCCTGTACTCACTGTGGTGACACTCCCACCCCCTCCCCCCAACAACCCTCTTTACAGGAGGCACCTACTTCCTGATCTCCCGCAGTCTGGGACCCGAGCTGGGCGGCTCCATTGGCCTCATCTTCGCCTTCGCCAACGCTGTGGCGGTCGCCATGCACACTGTGGGTTTCGCCGAGACTGTGCAGGCACTTATGCAGGTGAGAGTGTCTTCGCTTACCATGGTCAGGGCTTGGTAACACAGCCCAAGGTACGGTATAGCACAAGAACCCTTCGTGTTTACTTTAAAATAATAGGATCCTTCGGTAACACTTTATTTAAAGCAGTCACGTATAATGCATTATAGATACCATCTTAATGCATTATAGATACCCTCATAATGCATTATAATGCATTCATAAAGCATTATAAACACGGCTATAACTATAAAAAGGCATAACACATTATAGCCATGTTTATTATGCATTATGAACGCTTTATGAAGCTCTCATCTGTAATGCACTATAAATTCCTTCATAATGCATAATGGTTTACACTGACCTTTATAATGCATTATGAAGGTATCTTTGATGCATTACAATGACTGCTTTAAGTGTTACCAATCGTTCATTTTTATAGTGACAGATTTGTTGGGGTTCTATGGTTTCCTGCACATCTCCTAAGTTCGACTGACTTCCAGCCCCCATACCCTCCCAGGAGAATAACGCCATGATGGTAGATCGCCTTAATGACATCCGCATCATCGGGGTGATCACCGTCTCCTGCTTGCTGCTCATCTCCCTGGCTGGGATGGAGTGGGAGTCCAAGGTGAGGCCCGGAGATAAAAATTCTGTAGCCTCTGTTGTCTGCCTGTCTTGTCTTGGTTACCTTGAAGTTAGTTGAATGCATGATGGGATGTGCTGTGCTATGCACCTGGATGGTGCGTATTCTGGTTTTTACCATCTCGAGCTGAAGGTTCCGTTTTCCGATGCAGGCCCAGGTTCTCTTTTTCCTGGTCATCATGGTCTCCTTTGCCAGCTACATCGTGGGCACCATCATGCCAGCCACACCTCAGAAGCAGGCAAAAGGCTTCTTCAGCTATAAAGGTCAGAGGCTGGCTTTTCGGACAACCTACTGTAATTCCTCATAATGTTTTCAGGCTTTATTACTCAAATGTCATTAAGTTAGCTAGTTAACTCATTAACTAGCTGAATTCAATCATTTTCAAACCTTAGGCTGTATGTAGATAAGGCCTGTAAACTAAAATGAGGTGTAATTCAGTGAATGATTGACTTAGGGTGGCACAGTGTATCAGGGTGGCACAGTGTATCAGCGGGCAGCGCCATTGCCTCCAGGGTCGGGGGTTTGGCTCCAGTTTCCATCCTGTGTGGATATTGCATGTTCTCCCAGTGCTGCTCTGGGTTCCCCTCAGTACTCCAGTTTTCTCCTGCAGCCCAAAGACATGCAGTTAAGTCAATAGGGCTGGTCCTAGCTGGTGTGGCAGACCCCATCCAAGACAAACTGAAATTGGCTGGCAAGTCAGCGCACCCTAGGCAAACGCCTATGCTGCCTATAGACGAGCCCTGGGTGTCAATAGATTGCCCATATTGTGTGTTTATGTGTATATATGTGTGTGTGCCCTGCAATGGACTGCCACTGTTTAAGGGTCTGAGAGATGAACTGGCAGTATAATCTTGTTTTGGATAAAGGATGGATGCATGCATGCAATCACGATGCAATTAGGGGTCCTCAATGTTCCTTGAAGACATTGTGCCACACAATGATTGTTCCGTTCCTGTGACTGACGCAGCTCTGTACTCTGCACTAGCTGGCATTTTTGCGGCAAACTTTGTCCCAAGCTGGCGAGGTCCAGAGGGCAGCTTTTTCGGCATGTTCTCCATCTTCTTCCCCTCGGCCACGGGTATCCTTGCTGGAGCCAACATCTCAGGTGACCTCAAGGCAGGTTGACCCTTTTGCATCATGATGAACCGTTTTTATGACCAGGGAACAGTGATATAACAAAGTATATTCTGTAGCCTTGTTTCCACCAGCGTGGTGCCGGTGCAAGACTTTTCCCCAATCCGGCACTGGTTTCACGTTTCAGCTGCAAAGATTTCTCAGATTGTGGCCCCAAAACGTCAGCATAAGTGGGACAGGCTATGGCGTCCAAACGCTCCATATACCCGGAAAATTCAATCTATAACCGATAGTCTAATAACGGCGGTACTGGCAGTGAGAGCTTGTCAGCTTATTAGTATAAATATGTCACAGGTCGAATAAATAAACTATTATGGTGTTTGAGTGCATGCATGTATGCATTTTGAGTTCTCAAAAGGCACCTTGCGAGAACCAGCCCAGTACCGGCACCTGCAGCTGCGTGTTGGTGGTAACAAGACATTAAAACCCCTCATTTGCAATATTCAAACCCAAATAACAGACAACACCACCTCCAAACATTAAAATATACCCAACCAATAAGAATTATCTTGCATTTATTGTTAACGTTAATTGTGGGGCAGCATGTGGCTCAGTGGGCTGTGCCTGTGATCAGAAGGTTGCCAGTTCGAACCCAGCCTTGCGACGTCTGTGGGTCCTTGAGCAAGGTTCTTAATCCCCAGCTCCCTGGGTGCCGCTACGGGTGGCTGCCCTTTGCGGACAGCACACTCTACCAAGAGCAAGTTGGGGGAACCGTAGAGAATTTCCCCACAGGGATCAATAAAGTATCTGTTGTTATTATTATTATTATTATTATTAATGGTTCTAACATTAATCTCTAAAGGACTAAAGATGAAGTACATCATTCACATGTTAACATAGGACTATCTCTGGATTTTCTTGCTAACGTTTTGTTTAGGTGTCCATGTCCTTCTGCCTTATGTCATCTTCTGCGACCCATGGTACTTTTGCAGGACCCCGCAGTTGCCATTCCTAGGGGGACACTGCTGTCCATCTTCTGGACTACACTGTCGTACCTCATCATCTCCGCCACCATCGGTAAGCTTAATCCCTCAGGAGATTCTACCATCTGTCAATGATCCAACCCTTGCAAAAATCGGTTGTTTAAAAAAAATATTTCTTCCTGAACTGTGTCACTCCATGAAAGTCCAGGTCAACAGGAAAAAAGACAGACTCTTAAGAGAAATGCTCAAAATAAATCTATCCATCTGTCTGTCCGTCCATTTGCCCATCCATCCATCCATCCATCCATCCATCCATCCACCCATTTTCTGAAACTGCTTGTCCTACTCAGGGTCTCGGGGGGGTCTGGAGCTTCTCCTGGAGGCTATAGGCACCAAGCAGGAAACAATGCTGGATGACATTTTATTCAGAGATGACATTTTGCCCCCATGTAACGGAATATATCAGTATAGTATGAATTGATTGCAGTACATGCGAGTTTTTGTGTTTTAGCATCATGTGTAGTCCGCGATGCATCAGGGGATCTCAATGGCACTATATACATGAGCAACTCAACAGACTGCGTGGGACTGGCGTGCCAGTATGGCTGGGATTTCAGCGAATGCATCAACAACAAGACCTGCACCTATGGCATCAGTAACTACTACCAGGTAAATACACCCAAAACACTCACAAAAACAGCACCAAGCCTGAGTGTATTTTGTTTGGGTCTTAATACTTGTCACAGCCCTAGACACAAGCTGACTCACAAGTAAAACATGTTTTATGGAGCATGACCCTGTTGAGTTACAAGCATCAATAATAGCTTTTGGATCAGGAGCATTTAACAAATTTGTCAGTTGGAGTTCCAGCTAAATATGTAGGAAAATGTTACTGAGGTTCTGTGCTCTCCTCATCCCCGAGTCTGTGCTCCTGAGTCCTCCTCATCCCCGAGTCTGTGCTCCTGAGTCCTCCTCATCCCCGAGTCTGTGCTCCTGAGTCCTCCTCATCCCCGAGTCTGTGCTCCTGAGTCCTCCTCATCCCTGAGTCTGTGCTCTTGTGTCCTGCACTTCCCTACCTCAGAGTATGAGCATGGTGTCTGCCTTCGGGCCCCTCATCACTGCTGGCATCTTTGGAGCCACGCTCTCCTCAGCCTTGGCCTGCCTTGTCTCCGCACCCAAAGTCTTTCAGGTACCACAGATACCTGCCAGCCGTGTCTATCTGACACATGTATCCACTTGGACACACAAAACTTTGAAACAGATTATATTAGACTAAAAGGTTTTGCATTTTGGGATTTTAGGCAGTTGAAGAAAGCAGTTGATTTGATGAAATATCTCCATAAGGATGTATCTATTAGATTAAGCCAGAAATATAATACACAGCAATGCTCTTCCTCAAAGTCACACCAGACTTTTTCACTTTATCCTGAAAACCTAACCATCCTCCCACTCTTGTGTAACACTGACACACTCTCTCTCACACACACACACAAACACACACCTGCAAATGCGTGTCCACGCCCACTCAGCTGTGACTCAGTTCTCAGACTCAGAAATGAAACTACTGTGAGGACAGGAGGTACAGATGAGCGATATGCAAACTGTTTCTATATATAGGGAGTTACAGGTGTGTGTATTTATGCATAACTGGGGCATGTGCGTATGACAGTGACAGTTGGTGTGTTCAAATAAGAATGTTACTTGTTCTGATATAATGTTACTTATTCTTTAAGCAACCTGAACATTGTTTTGTAATGTAACAAATCTTCTCCTCCCCTCCCCCACCATACTAACAGTGCCTATGCAAAGACAGACTGTATCCAGCAATCGGCTTCTTCGGGAAAGGTTATGGGAAGAATGATGAGCCAATCAGAGGCTACCTACTCGCCTACATCATCGCCGTCTGCTTCATTCTCATTGGTAGGTCGGACAGTCTGGCAGGAGGTGGACAATTTCAATCAGATTACATTTTGACAGAAGTCTTAAAATGCTTCAGTAAGGTCTTCCTTAGCGTATATATAAAATGTCCCCGCTTTGTTGTTTGAGATGATCTGCCTTTGAATGGTCCTTGAGTGTTAAACACGCCACGTCTGAGAGAGGGAGCTCTAATGTGGGCCCCGTCGACGAGCGGTGTCTGGGAGAGGTATTCGGCGATGATGTCATGCTGCCATTGTCTCTCCCACGCAGCCGAGCTGAACACCATTGCTCCCATCATCTCCAACTTCTTCCTCTGCTCCTACGCCCTCATCAACTTCAGTTGTTTCCACGCCTCCATCACTAACTCCCCTGGTAAAAGCGTCTGGTTTGGCTGAGGCGGGGTGGGGGGGGGGGGGGGGTCAGCTTATGGTAATGCAGTAGAAACCATGAGAAAATTGGTATCGCATCCCATGGACCTGAGTGCTGAAGGCAGAACCTCCCTCACCAAAATGTCTGGCTCCGGGTTCTTCAAATCTGGACCTTGATTCTAAATCCAGGCCTTGCTTTCAGTTCTCCCAGGTAGTTACAGGTAAAGAAGGGTGGGAAATCAGCAGTGCTCAGACCTTGAGGAGTATGGTTTGAGTAGTTCTGGTCTAGCTGAACTATAAACAGGATTAATGGATGTTACACGAATGGCAAAAATGTCAGCAAGCTGCAACAAATTTCTTACTAAGCAAACAATAATAATATTGCAGGTCTGCTGGTGCTCAGGGACCCTACTTTCAAAATATAATAATTTGTGCAGATGATTCTGTTTTGACACGTGTTGCATGTTCACATTAACAAACGACCACGCCCACAAATGCGTGCGAGCTGAGCCCGTTCTTCCGGCGGTTTCCACAGGGTGGCGCCCATCCTTCCGCTTCTACAGCAAGTGGCTGTCGCTGCTGGGCGCCATAGTCTCGGTGGTCATCATGTTCCTGCTGACCTGGTGGGCGGCCCTCATAGCTATCGGCATCATTATCTTCCTGCTAGCCTACGTGCTGTACAAGAAGCCAGGTGGGAACCACACACGTCTCACCCCACACGCCAGAGACAGGCGGCCGCAATCCCGTTTACAATTGTAGCACTTCGAAATGCATCTGAAATGAGCCAATCAGATGACAGATCCGATTGTTCTCATCAAACACAGCTATAGTCAGTAAACATATACAGATATACAGTAACATACCATGTTGAACTATAACTGATGCTACTGTATATCTGTTAATGGCCATATGTCTATATTATTTTTACATCATACCAGTAATTGAATAAATGTCAGATGCTAAAGAAATTAAAGTATTTGCACCAATTGTCTGAATGGACCAGAACTGCTTAGGCATAGTGACAGAACATTCGTTTGTTCATAGTACAATACCCACTGTGCAATACTATCTATCTATCTATCTATCTATCTATCTATCTATCTATCTATCTATCTATCTATCTATCTATCTATCTACCCAACATAATGTACTTTGTGTGTGTTGTGCTGTGCAACTTCAGGTGTAAACTGGGGATCCTCAGTTCAGGCCAGTTCCTACAACATGGCCCTATCCTACTCTGTGGGCCTCAACAACATTGAAGACCACATCAAGAACTACAGGTAGCCGGAAAATTTTATTTCCGAGCCCTCCCCCCACCCTCTCCGTGGCAGAGTAGACTCCCCCCAGAGCGGCCTTCTCTTCCCACCACACAGGCCGCAGTGTCTGGTGCTCAGCGGCCCCCCCAGTTTCCGGCCAGCCGTGGTGGACTTCGTCAGCACCTTCACGAAGAACCTAAGCATGATGATGTGCGGGAACGTGGTCACGGTGAGCTGCTTCGCCCCCTTCGCCTCGTCCTCGTCCGGGATTGGGGATAATGGGGAGCTAATCGCTAATCGCTAATCGCTTGGACATGCATAAGAAAGAATCTGTGCCCATGAGACATTTCAAATAAAGTTGGAACGATTCAAACAGCTGTTGAAGAAGCTGTTCTGGAAGATAACCAAGGTTTTGCCCCTCAATAAGCACACACATGATGCACATGCTCTTCCTCCTTCTCCTCCTCCTCCCACAGGACAGCCCCTCCTCTGAGTCCACTGAAGCAGCACACAGTAACAGTCATGTCACATGGCTAAACAAGCGGCAAGTTAGGTCTTTCTACCGTGGTGTGGTTGCGGTTGACCTGCGCTCTGGGGTGCAGATGCTGCTTCAGGTGGGTGACCTTCCTGTCCCTGTGCACATGCTTCTCCTCTCACTCTTTTCCCTGTCGGTCCCGCCTTCCTCACCAAAGCCAGCATCTCTAGCAAGTCAGACTCATCTACTGATGACAATCATGGGTACTCTAGGGGCATGAACCCCCCCCCCCCCATTTGGCAAATGCTACTATCAACGACATATATTTCTTCAGATTGAAAGTGGTAATCCTGTGGTGGGGGGATCCATGCCCCTTTAGTACCCAGGTGACATTTTGTCAGGAGGCCCAGACTCTCTATCTACGCCCAATGATATTTTATGTAACTGCAATGTAATTGGTCACATTTAAATGTCAAAAAGAGTAATTTCACTGAAACTGCTTCTGACTGGTTATTATACATTGTTGTATTTTTGGCTGCTGATTAGACGTGTTTATTCAAACAGACTTGCAAAGCTAACAGTGTTACATTAGGAGTTTATACAGCTGGATACTTTGCCTGTGGGTGCTATAGCGGGGAACTTAAATACCAAGAATACCAGGATTTAAAACTGCAGGGTACCTGCCGTCTCGTGTTTCCCCATCCAGGCATCTGGGTTAGGTCGCATGAAGCCCAACGTGCTGGTGCTGGGGTACAAGAAGAACTGGCGCAAGGATAAGCCATGCTGCATGGACAACTACATCGGGGTCATACAGTGAGTCAGTGCAGTTCACGCTGCATGGACAACTACATCGGGGTCATACAGTGAGTCAGTGCAGTTCATGCTGCAAGGACAACTACATCGGGGTTATACAGTGAGTCAGTGCAGTTCATGCTGCGTGAGGTTATAATCACAAACAAATATTACTACACTAAACAGAATGTTTCATTTTTGATTTTTATTTATGAGGAGGATTTGATTTTTATTTCCAAATTTTTCTCAAAGTGCTAAAGGTCATGTCCTGAGGCATATCTAGAGGTGGAGGAACTATGGGATGGATGCTGGCCATCATGTCTGAGCTCCTGATCACGGCTTCCCTCTTTTGGTTGTATTGTGTTTCCCAGTGACGCCTTTGACCTGCAGTATGGCGTCGGTGTGTTGCGCATGAAGGAAGGTCTGGACATGTCCCACAACATGCAGGCCCACGGTGAGGATCCCAGCATCCGGCATGTGTCTTTGCTTCAGCCCTCAGCCTCAAATGTCAACCCCTTCCTTTCCCGCAGTGAACCCCGGGTTCGAGGCGTCCACTGAGCAGGCTCACAGCAATGGCGGAACGCTGACCATCCCTACAGAGAGCACATGTGTGTAACAGCAGGAGCCTTCACTTCTGTTATTATTGTTTACATTTTTTAACTTGGATAAGTTTTTATTTTATTTCAGTTAGTTTACAAAGCAATATTTGTCATTTTTATGTAGTGGTAGTGTTTATTTTATTTTCGTCTTTCAGTTCACGAAAATGTTTTCTTACAGTTTTAGTTTCTATTAATGATAAAAACCACAGCCTCCACCTCTTCTGCCCCAGCTGGCCGTTCTCTCAGATGCCCCCCTCACAGCATTAAAGTGTATATCTTCATGGGATGGGGGGGTGTGCGTGTCTGTTTCAGTGGACCCGGACGCCCTAGTCGCTGAGCTCCAGCCCCGCACTGTGTTCCAGTCCAAGCAAGGAAAGAAGACCATTGATGTGTACTGGCTCTCCGATGACGGAGGTGAGTCCGTGAGCAGAGACTGCATCACGTCCAAAATCAGGAGGACAGGGCTGTGGGATTCGTGTGGCAGAAGTCGGAGCCTTAATCCCGAGAGACCGCTGCGATCTGTCGATAGGCCTGACGCTGCTCATCCCGTATCTGCTGACCCGCAAGAAGCGCTGGGCGAGATGTAAGGTGCGCATCTTCGTGGGGGGAGATGTCCAGCAGGTGGAGGAGCAGAGGAAAGAGTGAGTGATGATCTTGGCCAGCGTCGTCTCAGCCAGGGAGAAGTCAGGACCGCACACAGGCAGACTGTAGCGGAGACTAACACAACGCTGTGTGTTTGTATGCAGGACTTACATAGACAACAAACTTTAAATAGCAGTTAGCATGTGTGTAGATCTTCAGATAGCATTGATCTGGCGTTATGAAAGACAGTCCACATAGTCATCAACATAAACAAATGTTTTACAGGTTATTTGAAATCTTGAGTCCTTTGATTAGTACTACACTGACATTAAAGTCACACCTGTCCATGCTGTTTCTGTTGTCTTTCACTGCCTTGACATTTTCCCACAATGCTTTGCTTCCCCTGCCATCTTCCAGAATCATGGCCCTCATCACCAAGTTCCGTCTCCGTTTCCATGATGTTGTGGTGCTTCCTGACATTAATGAGAGACCGCGACCTGAAAAGTATGACCCGCACTTTCCTGCCCAGCTCAGCCTACTGTCCTTTCACCCATACTGTACTTCTCCCATGACATTATATATTTGTATAAGAATGTACGTATGCATGTTGTTTGCAGTGATGAGAAAAATTAAGATTTAAGGCTAATGTCAGGTAGTTTTACCTGCCTGATATAATCGTTACTTATTTACATATAAATGATTTATAAAATTAATGATTTAGCCCACAACACCTTCCAGAGATCAGATAGCTTCAGTGGTATTTAGTGAGATTTGATTACGATGCAGCTTCATAACCACCCAGGTGACTAGAGCACCCCAACCTCATTTGTTCTGGTGATGCAGTGGGGGCCAGTTGTCTCTGTTTCTCTCTCCTCGTCTCTCCTCATCAGCGTGAAGAGATTTGAGGACCTACTTCAGCCCTACAAGGTGAAAAACATGCATAAGGATGGGCAGTCAGGCATCCCTGTGACTGAGAGCTGTCCATGGATGGTATCTGACGAGGACCTGGAGAGAAACAAAGCTAAGGTGAAAATGTTTGGGGATCGTGCTTCCTGTTGGGCACTGATAAGACATGTAGACAACAAGATGGAGTACACTGCAATTGTAGTACTGGGTGGTCAGTTTACAACACTTGGAAAGTTGCGGTGTGACACATTGTGGTATACTAATTATAGTGTGTAGTGCTCCAGGCTGTGTATTGTCGCGTACTTGTCTTTAATGTTTGCATTTTGTCCTTCAGTCTCTTCGACAGATTCGTCTGAATGAAATTTTGCAGGATTACTCCAGAGATGCAGCCCTGATTATCGTGTAAGTGAGTTGAGGCAATTCAGGAGAAATAAGTGCTGTCAAGGACTTGGCCAGTTAAAGCACAACACCCACTGATCCTGGGTGTGTGTGGGGGGAGAGCTTTAGACAAGCTTGGCTGGTTGTTCAGTTGAATATTACACCTTCATTTGTCATAGTCTCTCCCGGCTATGCAACCCAATGTCAGCTCAATGTGAAACACATGACTGCCCACATGTTCCGATAACCTGCTCCGCTCATTCACGTTGCTTCATTCTCCTGCTTCTTGTGTTTCCATGTCCTGTTCCTACCGTCACCCGGCTCCTGTTTCCAGATTTTGTTTCAACCATCCAGTTGAGTATAAAGAATGACAGTGACAGAATACTCGACTGGTTGGTTGAAACAAAATCTTGCTCTTGATTTTTACTTTCTGGACCTGAAATTTCCACCTCTGGTCACACGTACCACATACTTTTGGTGAAAATTTGAGCTGAAAATTTAAAAAGGGGGGGGGGCAATCTAACACAATTATAACACAATGATGTACAGTGTGCCTCTTTCTTTATTTGTCACTGTATATCGGTCACCCATCCTCCCCCCGTCTTTGCTTCTGATAGGACCATGCCCGTAGGCAGAAGAGGTGCCTGTCCAAGTGCCCTCTACATGGCCTGGCTGGAGACCCTGTCATGTGACCTGCGACCACCGGTCTTCCTCGTCAGGGGCAACCAACAGAATGTGCTCACCTTCTACTGCCAGTAGTCGGCCGCTGTCTCTCCAGCACCACTTAGTCTTTGCAGTTGCAGTAGTGTAGAATTCTTTTTAGGATCTTCTTTAAGGAGCTAGTCTGAGAATGTTTAGCACTTTGGCGTTGTGGGAAATGATCTGATGTGCTATATGGCCAAAATATGTGGACGGCCCTATTAATTAGGTGAATTGCCTAAATAGGTCACAGCCACTGCTGACTTGGGGGTATGATTAAGCACACAGTAATGCAAACTCCTGCAACAGACATTAGCAGCAGAATGTGTGGCTGTGCAGAAGAGCTTAGTGACTTTGCCCACGACACCATCACAGGACACCGTCTTTCCAAAACAGTCCGTTCACCACATTTCTGCCTTGCTAGAGTGAAGTGAAGTGGCTGTGAAGGTGAAAACATCAGGGAGCAAGTTCAGTTGAAAGGTGGGAAGCCTCACGAGCTGACAGAAAAAAAGGGTCCTGATCACCCAACATCAATGCCCAGTCTGATGGGCAGCAAATCCCACCAGCAATGTTCCACCATCTAACGGCAAGCCCTCCCGAACCGTAGAGGCCGTTATAGCAACACTGGGCCAACCGAACTCATCTTAGTACCTTTGGTTTCGGAATGAGTGGGCAGACGAGCTCCTGTTCATATACTTTTGGCCATAGAGTGTATCACACTGCGAGCCCAACTGAAGCACAGTAATGATAATTATAAATTATTATTATTTTGAGTCAAATTGTCTTACATTGTTAGTTTTTGTAAATGTCATTATTCTGCTTCTTACCCACAATTTAATTCTGCACTTTGAAGCAGTAACTAGTTTTCCTCAAACTCTGCAAATAGGAATTTATAAAACTTCAGCATTGTTTCATTGTGGCTAAATGTTTTATTGCGTCTGATGTGAATGTCATTCCCGGTTGATTATTATAAATTACAACCAGCACTAACCAGGGGGGCTGTCCACAAAGCAGGATTTCTCAGTTAGCCTCGTTAGCTTAATCTAGAAGTCATGACTGTCCAATAGAAATGCTCCTTACTTAAACTCTTATTGGACAATCATGACTTCTAGTTTAAGTTAAATGAGGAATCTTGCTTTGTGGAAAACCCGCCAGATTTGTGATCTGGGCCTTGGAAACTGTGTTCTTAAGAATCTTGTTCAAATCAAAGCTACCCCTATAATCATTTTGATATACACATTCCAATTGCATTCAATGGCATTTTAGGTTCTATAAATTAACTTGTGAATGAGAAGTTGTATTAATGCTACTGCTCTAATGAAATATTCATTTATTTATTTTGCATAGTGGCTGGTAGGTAGCTGTTCTGTCAACTTGATGTTATTCAAACTGCCTCTATGTTGAGGTATTATAACTCTGTTTGCTGTGGCTTGGTAGCTCATTGGGTAATACTGTAGTTTTTTTTTTTACCATTAGGGCTGTGGGTTTGAATCCAGTCCCAGTTCTGTGCATGTGAAGTTCGGGTGGGTTTCCTCTGGTGATTTCAGAACATGCAGTTTTACTTGCATTGGTATCTCAATGCTGCCCTGAGTATAAGACAACCTTGCGATGGACTGGAATCACATCTAGGGAAACACCTCCTCTTACGCATTCAGGGAAACCAAGTGATTCGATTTATTAATGTTAATAATCCATTATGGCAGTTAAATGTTTATAGTTGCTTAATAAAACAAGGGCTGTTAGCGTGTCTGAACAAAACGTCCTTTAGTCTTTTATCATAGTATAAAGTTTAACATGTTATAAACAAAATGTGTAATCCATGTGTTTTCAATCAACAGTCCAATACTAAGTGATTAACTATGAATAATTATAGTTTCAAACGAACATATTCAAAAGGTTATCAAGTTTGACTTAAAAGCAATAAAACGGCACACATAGAACGGCAGCAAAGTTTCATGGAAACTAGGAGTACAGTGCACAATCCTCCTATATTAAATCAGGATATCTGTAGTAATCACAGGATTAGCTGTCGTCAATTATTAATTGATCTTATAATAGCAATTAATCAAAACAGTAATGGATGTGTTCTTCTTGTGCTCGTGTCCTGATCCTAACAAAAGGCTGGTCATACTATATCGCTGCAATAAAAAGATACCACAGTTATTAAACATATCATGAACGAAAGAAGTACAACCGATAGCTTTAACTGCACACTTACACATAATCAGAATTAGCGAACTACCTAGAGTGTAACAGTTGCTTTCGGTACAGAATCTATTGCGTCAGCATGCTAGCTGCGCATGCACAGTTTGCTTCGCTAGTTCCGGATGTATTTGTAAAACCATTGCAAATGATTGACCAATCATTGACGGCCACACAGTACTGGGGTACAATTCTTAGCCAATCACGGGCAGCCACACTTTATTTGGCAACAAACCTCCACGGACTTAACAGGCGACCTCAACTTTCTTACACACCTGTCAACGGGTAGAATTTAGTAGCTTGGCGTAGTATTGTGCATCACATTGTCTTTTAAATAAGGCAGTTAAACAAACGCGATAGTTTCATACGACGGGCAAAGCCTTTTGCGTTGATATTTCCTGTTTAAGCGGCAATTTTGCTTCGGCGTTGGGGTCAGATTTGTTTGGGTGGGGAAGTGAAAATCACTTTTTAAAATGGACGATTGCGATACTGCTGTACAAAAGATGCTCACGCTTATAATCAGATCGTCGAACCGATCGTGTGAAGATCAGACCATCGAAGGTGTTGGGGTCGACTGGACCATAAAGGAGCTGAAAACCCATTTGTCCGCGGTATACCCGAGCAACCCAGTAAGTAGCGGTGTCCCGTCCGTGTCTCGGCGTTTACCGGCCCCTCAGGAATAACAGCATTCGAAGAGGTTATTAGCCCTCGATGCGTCTTTTTGTTGTTAATATGAGTGGAGTTTAAGGCGGTAGTGGAGGGCTACTCGTCATGCTTTGCGTATTTTTTTGTAATTTCCATTTAAAACCGCAAGCTAAGGTAGTCTGTATGCTTTTGATAAATAATGATGATAACATAACGTAACCGTGCCTGTTGCATCATCGCGACAGCCTGAAAGGGACCAGAGGATCATCTACGCCGGAAAGCTGCTCCTGGATCACCAACACGTGTCTGACGTCTTCGGAAAGGTAACACGTTTGTTTATAAGTTAATGGATGTGCAGCAGACCAACGTTTTATGTTTGTTAAACCAAAAACTTCCAGCCGTCTTTACAAACGTGAAGCTAAGAACTTAAGGCTTCTCTTTGTAACGCTGGCTGACTGACACTAAATCTGATTTTAAGGTTACCAAAATAAACACGAACCAGTCTTATGTCACTATACCAGGTTGATCTTGGCCCATTCCTCTTTTTGAGCAGTGTTTCTCATACATCTCGCATACTTCTCTGTTTGAGCCATCATGAATGCTGCAGTCAATATACAGTATTCACTGCGACTGACATGTAAAACATCCGTCCTCGTTTCCCTTCTAGTTGGAGGCCACGCCCATCATTCATATGGTGTGTGCTTTCAGACCGCAGGCAGCTGGCCCGCCTGGACCCCAGCCCAAGGTAGGCCGGTTACATCCTTCTGGTATTAGCGTGTAATCAGTGTTTAGGTTCAGGTTCGCTGTGTGCTGAAGAGCTCACTCATGCTGGCCCATTGCCCCTCTGCTTGCCATCTCCGGAGGGCCCTGGTTTCTTCTCATTAAGATCCTGAGGTGGAGATTAAGACTCTGAAGCTCCGCAGTTTGATGTGAATGGTGTAGATGACTCTGTCCCTCCTCGCTGTCCTGTGTCTCTGGTGGTAATGTCTCCTCTCCTGTCGCCACTCAGGTTGCAGCAGCGGAGCTGAATGGAGGGGGGTCCTCTTCCCCTGGTGATGGACTCACTCAGCAGAGCGCCACTGCCCCTCCCACCACGCTCGCTGATGATGGGCTGAGGAACAGGGGCCAGCCCCCAGCCAGAACCCCTGGGTGAGAGCCTTATCTGCACCAGCCTCTGACACCTGTGATAGAGGCACGATCTGGCCTCTTCTGTGGGCTCTCTTAAAATGCCTTCCCCCCCCATGAATGCAGACCCTGCATGGAGCAGGAGAAGACCTCTGGTTCCAGCAGGATGACTTTACACTGATTCTAAAACAGCCCTTTGTCAAACCACATAGCTGCCGTACTTGTGCGTGTTTCGCTCTGACACTGAAGCCCGTGGTCAGTTGCTGTGCTGTCATCTCTTGGCGGTGACTTTGAGCTCCTCTTTCCCCCTCCAGGTCTGGGTCACCGATGAATCAGCCGGTGTTCCCCACATACTCCCTGTACAGCCCCCAGCAGCTGCTCTGGCTTCAGCGAGTTTACGCTCAGCAGTACTACATGCAGTAGTAAGTACTCATTCATGTGCGCATAGCTGCTGTCACACGCTAGGTGGAAGTGCCGTTCGTGCTATTAAGAATTGCAGTCCGGCTTATTTGGCCAAGTATGTGCACACAGGGCCACACAGGGTTGTCAGTGGCTGTCACATGCAGTGGTACAGACAAGACAATGGTGACATACATTGTATATCAACAGAATTGTATATATGTAGTTGATAGATGGAAGCACAAGGACTGTTGAAGTACAGTTCATAGAAAATGCCGTAAGCGCAGTGAGTTATTTACAACAATGAGATTTCTTGCCAAGAGGGGGGTGATGGTGCAACTGACCCGTGACAGCTTGTGATTGCTTGTGAGAAGCTGTTCTCGTGCTTGACCTTGTGCGTTCTTCCGTGGGCTGTAGCGCTTACCTGAGAGGAGAAGTTCAGATGTTGTGGCCTGGGCCTGATGCCTTTTGATATCCCCTGATTGTTCTTATGTTGGACGTTTGGTCCTTCAATGGTCCTATTGGTTTCTTGGTGTGTTAGAAGTTGTTGGTCAGCTCCTGCTCCAGTCCTGCTTGCACGTGTACCTGGGCGTTCATTGGGTCAGCCAAGCTGCATATGTACCTAACTGACTCTGACATCATGTCTCTTTGCAGTTTGCCTCATTCGTATGTCGTTTTGGAGAAAAGCACCTGCTGATTATGTAACATGTTGTGTTAAAGGGGAATCTGCGCATGTAGGTCTGCTCTCTTGCTGTGTGTCAGGAAATTACTGCAGTCAAAAGTAGCACTTTCTGTTCCTGGTTAGATATCAAGTCTTCTTTTTTTTTTTTTTTTAACTTTGAAGAGTGAAACTGACTGCACCCTGTAAGGGACGTTTCTTCTACAGGAAGTGCATCTCAGGCATTCTTCCCATGTTGCATTTCTGCTTCTCTATATTAAGTTTTGGTTGTCCCTCCTACAGCCAAGCGGCCCTTGCAGCTGCGGCCTCTTCCAGCAGCCCTGTGGCCAGTGCCGCCAGTCGCGCTCTGCCTGTCGACCCCCAACCCGCTGCCGTCCCCGCGGCCCTGCCCAATCAGCCTGCCAACCAGAATGTCCCGGAGCCCCACCTCATCAACCCTGCGGGAGCCAATCAGAACTTGCGCATGAACGCCCAGGGTGGACCTGTGATGGAGGAGGATGATGGTGTGGAACACGATTGGCTGGAATGGGTGTACACGGCCGCCCGCTTCTCCGTCTTCCTGGGCATCATGTACTTCTACTCGAGCATCAGTCGCTTTGTCCTTGTGATGTGCAGCCTGGTCCTCATGTACCTGTGAGTGTTGCTTTGTACCTTCATCTCATACCTCAGTGATTGTGATTTGCTGAAGTGAGGCGCTAGTTCCTTTTGTGGGTGAGATTAAAGTGTCTCGCTACTCACTGATTGGTTATTTTAATTCGGCTTCCTTTGAGTTAAACCAGGAAGTCATGACGCTAAGTCTAATTCCCCCTGTCGCTGTGTGCTGTTATTAAAAGCCGAGGAGGCCCATTGAGAACAGGAAGCCAAC